AACTTCCCTGGAGCAAATTGTCTACCACAGTCTGTAATATATAACAGTGTTCACATGTTATATACCATATTTGTGATCAGCAGCATGAGGATATTTAGTAGTGGTTCAACCAGATGAGCGGGAGTTCTTTGTTTCTTAAGTCCTGTTAGTTTTGTCGTATCACCTAACCTTTTGGATTTAGCATCCACTTATCAGGGAGACCATGTACCGTTTGTCTCTTCGTTCTTGGCTTACCTCGCTCAACATGATTCCTTCTAGCTCCATCCATTTCCCTGCAAATGCCATTATTTTGTCATTTCTAATGGCTGCATAATATTCCATTGTGTATAGATACCACAATTTTTGGATCCATTCATCTGTGGTGGGGCACCTAGGTTGTTTCCATATCCTAGCTATTGCGAACAGTGCTGCAATAAACATGGAGGTGCACGTGTCCTTGTATATTGGTTCCTGTTGTTCAGGGTAGATGCCTAGAAGTGGTATGACTGGGTCGTAAGGGAGGTCAATCTTTAGCTTTCTAAGGACCCTCCAGACTGCTTTCCAAAGTGGTTGGATAAGTGTACATTCCCACCAGCAGTGTAATAGGGTTCCTCTTTCTCCACATCCCCTCCAGCATTTGTCGTTGGCTGATTTGTGGATGTGGGACATTCTGACTGGGGTAAGGTGGTATCTCAGGGTTGTCTTTATTTGCATTTCCTTCACCACCAGGGATGATGAACATTTCCTCATGTGTTTCTTTGCCATTTTTATTTCTTCATTTGAGAAGTCCCTCTTTAGTTCCCTTGCCCATTTAGTAATTGGTTTGTTAGGTTTGGGAGGGATTAGTTTCTTGAGTTCCCTGTATATATAGGATGTTAACCCCTTGTCTGATATATTGCTGGTAAATATTTTTTCCCAATTAGTTGGTTGTCTTTCTAGCTTAGTTGCGATAGATTTAGCTGTGCAGAAGCTTTTTATTTTAAGGTAGTCCCATTTGTCGAGTCTCTCTCCAACTTGTTGTGACCCTGGGACTCTGTTCAGGAAGTTCCTTCCTGTGCCTATTAGTTCAAGTGTCTCTCCTACTCTGTCCTGTAGTAGTTTCAGAGATTCAGGTTTAATGTTAAGGTCTTTAATCCATTTTGAGTTGATGTTGGTGCATGGTGATAGGCTGGGGTCCACTTTTAGTTTTCTGCATGTGGTTGCCCAGTTTTCCCAGCACCAGCGGTTGAAGAGGCTGTGTTTCTTCCATTGTATGTCTTTGGCTCCTTTGTCGAATATCAGCTGGCTGTAGGCCTGTGGATTTATATCTGGATCTTCTATTTTGTTCCATTGGTCTTCGGGTCTGTTTTTGAAACTTTCCTTTTTCTAAGATGCCCTCAGGTTTAGAATACTGCCAACTTGGCAGGGAGAATTTAGGCCTGCTGTAAATACCCCTAGAAATTTCAGCATGCTCCAAACAATCTCAGGGCTCAGGACCTCACATAAGAATCACAGAACTAACTGGTTTTCCCTAAGGACCACAGTAATACTGAGGAGAAATTTGAAATTTAAATCCATTTTTTGTGTGCACCAGTCCTCGGGGAACTTGAACTCAGCCTGGGCACTCTCACTGAGCTTTTGTGTTAATGTTGTCATTCTGCCAGTTGAGCCACTGCTCCACTTCTGGTTTTCTGGTGGTTAATTGGAAATAAGAGTCTCACAGAACTTCCTGCCTGGCTGGCTTTGAACCTTGATCCTCAGATCTCAGCCTCCTACGTAGCATAATCTCTGCCTCTTAGGGAACCCACAAGGATAATTTTTCCTCCTATCAACAGAGTTCCAGTGTACCAGTTGTTGGTTTTGGTTACATACATGAAAAGTTCCATCAAAGAAGGAGCTGTGTGTCTTCTGTTAACTTGACACAATTGTTAAGAAAAACTACACTTTGCATATTCATTTGCTCTTGTCCCCAATTGTGAATTTTACTGCTGAAAAGCATATTTTGGCACTTCACATTTGCAAAACCGAGTATTGATTGTGTCACTTTCAGATTTTGTATTTAAATTTCCTAGCTTTAGTGCAGATTTTCAAGACTATAAGAACAAATTTTGTTTGAAAAACAAAAAAATTTGCTCTTATTTTTGTAACCTTCTGTACTTTTCAAATAAAATGAAAGAAAAAAAAGAAATGTCTGATTTTAGTCCAATTCTGTGGAGTATATCCAGGAACAAAAGGTTGTTAGGAATATTGACTCTTTGACTCTAGAGTGAGTAAATATTAGACTAAATCTTTATCCATCTTTGGATTTGGTCGTGCATGAAACTGGCAATAAAATAAGAAACATGGTTTCAGGTCATAAATATCTGCCAGACTAAACCACTTCCACCAATGGTTTAAGTAGACCTGAAACAGTTTGATTTCTTGGCTGGTAAGGAATGAGATCATTGAATCAATGAAGTCATTGAATCAATATTATTTACATATTTGTTCTCAAAATTCTCTCTCTCTCTCACCCCCTCTCAACCCTCTCTCCCCTCTCTTCTCCTTCCTCTCTCCTCTCTCCTCTCTCCTCTTTTGTCCCTCATGAGGCTTAAACTCAGGGCCTGGGCATTGTCCCTGAGCTTTTTCACTCAAGGATAGTGCTCTACCACTCTGAGCCACAGTGCCACTTATGGTTTTGTGGCAGTTAATTGGAGATAAGAGTCTCACAGCTGGGTGCTGGTGGATCACACTTGTAATCCTAGCTACTCAGGAAGCTGAGATCTGAGGATCACAGTTCAAAGCCAGCCCAGGAAAGAAAGTCTGTAAGATCCTTATCTCCAATTAACCATCAGAAAACTGGAAGTGGTGCTGGGGTTCAAAGTGGTAGAGTACTTGCCTTGAGCTGAAGAGCTCAGGGACAGCACCCAGGCCCAGAGTTCAAGACAGACAAAAAGAAAGTCTCATAGACTTTGCTGCCTGGACTGGCTTTGAACCATGATCCTCAGGTCTCAGCCTCCTGAGTAGCTAGGATTACAGATGTGAACCACCAACTCCCAGCTCAAAATTCTTTTTTTGTCAGTTGTTGGGCTTGACCTCCGGGCCTGGGTGCTGTCCCTTAGCTCTTTAGCTGAAGGTAAGTACTCTACCACTTAAGCCACAGTGCCACTTCCATTTTTCTTGTGGTTAATTGGAGATAAGAATCTCATGGACTTTCCTGCCAGGCTGGCTTTGAACCATGATTCTCAGATCTCAGCCTCCTGAGTAGCTAGGATTACAGGTGTGAGCCACCAGCATTCAGCAGCTCAAAATTCTTAATAGAATACAATACATGTGTTTTGATTTGTGGGTGGGTTAATGTCCACAAATTCCTACATAAAATACTCTAAAACTGAAGGATGTTTCAAGTAAATTCCATGACCTTGATATTCAATCTTTGATGGCTTTCTATGGATGAGCATTTTTATCTAAGCAAATCTTACAAACATTCAAAGAAGGATGCTAAAATAGCAATCATCTCCCTGACTTGTTCAGCAAAGATAACTGCTGGGCTTCTGGATCTCTTGACTTTCAGCTATTCGATGTCTTCACATTCTTTTTTGTATGTGTGTATATGTCAGTTTCAGGGCTTAAACTCAGGGCCTAGGTAGGCACTGTCCCTGAGCTTCTGTGTTTAAAGCTAGCACTCTAACACTTTGAGCCACTGTTCCACTTCCATGTTTTTTTGGTGGTTAATTGAAGATAGGAGTCTCACAAACTTTCCTTTCCAGGCTGGCTTTGAACCTTGATCCTCAGATCTGAGCCTCCTGAGTAGCTAGGATCATAGGTGTGAGCCACTGATGCTCTGCTCGCTGTCCATTCTGAATTTTTTTTCTTCTTGGAAGTACTGGAAATTGAACTTAGGCAGGCACTCTATTACTTGAGCCATGTCCCCAGCTCAATTATCTGCCCACTTTAAGAGCCCTATTAGAGTTCTGAAAAAAAAGCTCAGGTACAGCATCCAGACCCTGGGTTCAAGCCCCAGGACCGGCACCAAAAGAAAAAAAAACAACTCTATTTGAGCCAGGCCTATCCAATTCAGGTCTCTTCAAGGATTCTATTTTTTTTCTTTCTGCTGGTACTGGGGTTGAACTAAAGGCCTTATACTCTCACTTGGCACTCAAAGCTGGCGCTCTACTCCTTGAGCCACACACCCACTTCTAACTTTTTACTGATTAATTGGAGATAAGAGCCTTGAGGATTTGACTGCCCAGGTTGGCTTCAAATCACAATCATCAGATCTCATCCTCCTGATTACAAACATAAACACCCAGTGCCAAGCTCTGTTCAAAGATTCTTACACATAAAAATAGTAAAGAATTGATGGCTTAATTAAGATGACAATAGGCAATTTTCCTGAGGTTAAAGGATAGCAGGAAATATTTCAACACCTTTTTGTGCTAGCCTTTGGGGCTTAAACGTAGGGCCTGGGTATTATCATTGAGCTTTTTTTTGTTCCAGGCTAGCATTCTGCCATTTGGACCACAGCTCTACTTCGGGCTTTTTGATGGTTAATTAGAGATATGAGTTTCACAGACTCACTTGTCCTGGCTGGCTTCTAACCATGATCCTCAGAGTTTAGCTTCCTAAGTAGCGAAGATGACAGGTATGAATCACTGGCTCTAAGCCCCAACACATTTTTTTAATTAGAAAGACTCTAAATTAGGCTATTAAAATAATAAAGCAGTGACTCTCAAATTTCATCAAGTATGCTGAAAATGCTGATTCTAGAGCCTAGTGATCAGAGATGGTCATTTGGTAGGTGTGGAGGTAAGGGCCAAGAAAGATGTGTTTTTCAGTAACCTTCCCTTAGGAATTCTGATGCTAGAATTCCCAGTACACTTTGAGAATCACTACTATCTTTGAAAGAAAATGATAAATGACAGGGGTTGGATGCTATTTCCAATAACAGGCTCAGTCATTGCTGGAGCTCCTGCCATGTCTCAAAATATCTTTTTTTTCTTTTACTGTAAGTCAACTGTTACTACATTATTTTACATGTATTTTTGTTTTAATCCTATGAGGCCTTACTTTAAAGATGAGGAAACTGAGGCACAGAGAAATTAAATCACTTGCCTGCTGGCTTGCACCTGGTAAGTATGACACTTAAACGTGCACCATATCACATCTTCTGGTATATTGCTGAATGTGCTCTGGGCATGGATGGTGGTGGGATGGTGAGGTGAATACTCTGAGGATCAGATTATTGAAACTGAAAGGGGCCTATTCTACCTATCTTATTTTATAGCTCTGAAAACTAAGGCCCAGCCTTTTCATTTTTCATGCATTATAGAATCTCATTTTAACCTACTTACTCCTTTGTGACTCGATCTCTGGGATAAAATGGCCATATTGCACACACAGCATCACCCTCTTCAGTTCATGCAAAATCCTCCCCAACCATTCAACCATGAAGCTCCTATTTTGATTCGCCTCTTGTATTCAAGGTCATTCAGAAGGATAGTAAAGGGAAAAAGGAAAAATTACAATATTTGTCAGAAGTAAATATCCCCCCATCCTCACTCCCACTTACTTCACTTGAGCAAAAACTTGGCTATGATTTGTCCTCAATTTTTTGCTTTAGATCAGTGTCTCCCCATTGTGATTTTCTTTTATTAAATCCATTTTGTTGCTCTTTCTTAGTTTGTTATTTTAAGGTATCAAGGAGTCACTGTTTTCTTATTCCAGAGACCAATGCTGAGTATCTTATTTATGAAACATATGGAAAAAAATGAGTACAAGAAGGTCATCCCAAGAGACTGAACTGGGATACAAATAGGAGCTATGCCTCAGACTGAGAAGAGACATGTCAACAATATGGTTGGTTAGGAACAAAGGACGCTGTCCCAGCTGATCATTTGTAGAGGCTGCAATGTTATATCCTAATTTAATCAGGCCACCTGAATGAGTTCTGGAGTCCTTTTTATTAATAACAATAAATATATTAACAACTATAACTATATGTACATATAGCATTTAGTACTTTCTATATGCCAGGTATCATTCTAAGAGTTGTATAGGAATGAATTAATTTGGTCATCAGAAACTCCCCTATGAGGGCTGGGAATGTGGCTTAGTAGTAGAATGCTTGCCTTGCATGCATGAAGCCCCTACATAAACAGAAAAAGCCAGAAGTGGTGCTGTGGGTCCAGTGATAGAGTGTTAGCCTTGAGCAAAAGAAGCTCAGGGACAGTGCCCAGGGACAATTCCCAGGTCCTGGATTCAGTTTCCAGTGGTGGCCAAGAAAGAGAAGGAAGGAAAGAAAGAAAGAGAAAGAAAGAAAGAAAGAAAGAAAGAGAAAGAAAGAGAGAAACGAAGAAAGGAAGGAAGGAAGAGAAAGAAATATCATTATTAAAGCAGGTGGTTTCTCTCTCTCTCTCTCTGTATGTGTGTATGTGTGTGTTGTACAGAATCCAAGAACTAGAAAATGTCAGAACTATGTCATCTGGTTTCCCTAATCTCAGAGGCCAAACTGGAGTCTAGTAACAAGTATGCATCCTTACATGCTTGCAAGTATTACAACTGGTCAACATCCTAACAACTTTAGGATGCATTTGACAGATGAAAAGATTAAGGTACAATTAGCTAAGATAACTTACCGCATCATACACTCCAGTAAAGAGCAAAGAATAAGTCAGTGATTCAGACTATGTCATACAATGCCAAGACCAGCACAAAGAACCATTCTACTGTCCTGTCATAAGCCTAATCAGCAATTTAATGGACTTTCACACTTCAATCAGGAAAGATTGATTGGGTGTGCTAGAAAACACAAATGTATTGAGCTCAGATCTCATTCCAAATTCTGGCTGTGTCTTACCAGTTGTGTCACAAAGGAAAACCGTAACTTTTCCAAGCTCAGATTAGTTACCTGTAAAATTGGAATGATCACATCCACCTCCTCTGATAGAGAATACATGTAAGGAGCCTAACATTTACACATTCTGGTCTATAGGGGGTGCTGGTGTATAGCAAATAGTCTTTCCTAATTCTTTCCTCCTTCCTCTCTCCAATGGCATGTTGAGTAGGAGTGCTTAGAAATGGGGAGGCTTGGTTGCCCACTTCATGGCTTATAACTATAATCCTGCCACTCAGAAGACTGAGATCTGAGGATCACAGTTCAAAAAGTGGGGCTGTGGCTCAAGTATGAGCACTATCCTTGAGAGAAAAAGCAAGTAAGAGCCCCAGGACATGAGTTCTAGTCAAAGGAAGGAAGGAAGGGAAGGAGGGAGGAAGGGAAGGAAAGAAAAGAGAAAGAAAGAAGAAAGAAAGAGAAAAAGAGGATAGAGAGAAAGAAGGAAGACAGAGAAAGAAAGAAAAGATAGTAGGGAGGCAGGGATGAGAAGGAGAAAGAAGGAAGTAAGGAGGCTGTCTCATGCACAGCATAGTTTTTATTCCTAACATTGTTTTTCCCTCTCTTTGATACAGGAAATATCTTCTCTTTGAACATTGTGGATCTTAAAAAGAGTATCTACTGTGCATTCTTTACTTGATTTTTTACTTTTGCAGTGCTGGAAATGGAACCTAGTGCCTCGCATATGGATCTTGTGAACCTTTAAAAACTTAGTAAAATAAAGTCTCACAGAGCAATGTGGCTTTCTCTTTCCTCCCCAAATTATGCAGGACTTACTTCTTATATTTTAGTTTTAAAATAAAATGTATTCACTTGCTTTTTGTTATTATTTCATTTGCTTTAAACCATCTTTGTAACGTAAACTGTTAATATTTGTCTGCTTACAAGGCACGCACTTATACAAATGTCCAGTGGGAGGCACTCTTCATATGTTTTAGCCAAGGGAGTCACAGTTGCCATATCCTTGCAATAACAGTACCTTCTCTCTCTAGCAGCAAAACTCCTAACCCTGAAATGCTTAAATAGACCAATCTCATAACTCCAATTAACCATATATTCTTTCTCAAGAAATAGAAAAACAAAGGGTCAAACATTTTTATCCAGGGAGAGACTTAGATAAAAATGGAGCAATGTTTTTATTAATTATCAGACAACCCATTGTAGAAAACTTGGAATATTGACTGGACATGGTGGAGCATGATTATAATCCCAATTACTCAGGAGGCAGAGGTAGATGCATCTCCGTCCAAGGATGGATCAAGCTGAAGAATGAGAGCTTATCTGAAGAATGAGAGCTTATCTGAAAAACAAAAAGACAGGGGCATGACTCAAGTGGTGGAGTGCCTGGCAAGCATGAGATCTGGAGTTTAATTTCCAAGAAAGAAAGAAAGATAGGAAGGAAGGAAGAAAGAAAGAAAAAGAAAGAAAGAGAAAGAAAGAAAGAAAGAAAAGAAAGAAGGTAAGAAAGAGCAAGGAAGGGAGGGAGGGAGGGAAAGAAAGAAAAGAATGAAATAAAAGGAAGAAGAAAGAGAAGAAGGAAGGAAAGAAAGAAGGAGGAATGGAAGAAAGGAGAGAGGAAAAAGAAGAGAGAAAAAAGAAGAAAAGAAGAAGAGAGGAAAGAAACCTTGGGAAAGACATAAACCAGATTGTGCCTTAACTAGTGGGCAAGCAGCTTTGAACTATTCCAGTACCATTCTCTAGAATTTGCAGAGGCCCCTAATTATACTATGTTATTGTGATTTATTTTGCACTCTTGGGGAAGAGACTCAGAGGCTTGTGAGTGCTAAGCTAGTATCCTAGCACTGAACTACATCCCAAGCTCCTGGTTCATTTTCTTAATTATTTACATCAGCTCATATCCAAAAGTGATTGGAGAGAGCATGGTATTCAGTCTGTGTCGAATTGCCAGTTTTCCCTTGCCATTTATAAGAGCTAACAAATTGGCTGGAACCAACTTCCCAGTGATGCTTGTAAAATAGAGATAACTGTCTAAAAGTGAAAAAAGACTTTACCCTGCAGGACCTAAGCACAAACATCATTTATCAGTCACTTAATATATGGCCATGCTGCTCAGTGGTGGCTCACACTAGCTACTCAATCCTAGCTACTCAGCAGGCTGAGAGCTGAAGATCCAGGTTTAAAGCCAGTTAAGAAGGAAAGTCTGTGAGACTCTTAACCTCCAATTAACCACCAGAAAACCGGAAGTGGAGCTGTCTCGAGTGGTAGAGCGCTGGCCTTGAGCAAAAACAGCTCAGGGGCAGTACCCCTGAGTCCAAGCAAGCCTCAGGACCACCACCACCACACACACACACACACACACACACACACACACACACACACACACACACACACACACACACACACACACACACACACACACACACAGTGTGGCCCAGTTGGCCATTGCTTATTTTCTTCAGCTTCTGAAGTATTAGACAATAGGCAATGTTCATACGTTTGATCATTGAACATATATCTATTCAATACCTGCTGTGTGGAGGCTCTAAGGATATAATGGAGGGGAAAACCAAATCTTTGCCCAAGGGGACTTACCCAGTACATGTTAAGCATACCTTTGAGGTCTCTCAAAGATACAACTCTCTGTGTGTATGTGTAAATACCAGCCTCAAAATCGCCTCAGTACCCCCACAAGTAAAGGAAAGATGAGTTTAGGTTTCCCGGGGAAGCTGACATGGAGGCAGAGCTGGGAAGTGTAGCAAGGTTATTGGGGAATGTACCCCTAACCAACCCTTGTGAGGGGAAGAAAGGAGCCTATCTGGGTAAAGGAAGAAACTGAACTGTGGCTTTAGCCTCAGCAACTCCAGACAGCCCTACTGGGGAACTGTGCAATTGGGATGGTCCTGCTGAATTGGAGCCAGGGAGTCAGATTTGTATAGTTCCCTCATAAAGCAATCATTCAATCCATGCCAACCATGAGAATGCAAACTGCTACAGGGTCGCTTTCGTCACCGAGTGGAAATTCCCCCAAATCCAGGCTGTAGGCAACACTGGCCAGCAGCTATGGGAATAAGTTCTTTAGCCTGCAAGGGGAATCTGGAGCGTGTGTCACAGCATGCACAGCACAGAGACTGGATTCTGATCTATGACATCTTGTCCCAAGATCTCATCCTAAGACCCTGTGACTCCAGGGGACTGGTAATGTCACTGCTATTTGCTGTGTCAAACAGACATCCCACAGGCAGAAAATGCCCCTGCGGCAGGGACAATGTTGCCTTTGGATGCCTTTTCCTACGTGTCTTCCTTCTGCTCCAAATTCCTCAAACACTTTGACTGACAGATGGGACTAATCTTTGATCTCTCTCCTCAAGCCAGACCCTATGAGATGTCCTAGTTGTCAATGCCTGGAGTCCCCAGCACAATCCTCTGCAGACATAATAGGGACGCAGCTACACCCTATATAACCTCAGACCACCAGACTTGACAATATTCTTGAGAGCTGGACAAATTTATAAATCTTATTCATGAATGAACTTGTTTCTGAGATACACAATTTCTATGTTCGTGCTGCCACCTGGTGGCCATCTTGTTGACATCCAAAATCAAAATTTGGAATTAGATTAATTGAATTTCCAGAAAAAGGCATCTTCAATGTGGGCTCCCTATTTCCCTTTGAAATAAAGAACATATTTTCATGTTTTGGCTTAAAGTATATAAACACTTCTTCCATGAAGAGTTTCCTATCAATTCTTAAGGCCCAGCACAGATATTTCCTTAGAAATATTCAGCAGTGAGCTTCAAAAATTCAACAGCAGTGAGCTCTTCCATCTCCCAACCTATCCCGGAATAGTGCCATCTCCATCATCACCCATACCACATTCAAAGGAATTGCTTTGTGGTATGTGAGACATGACATGTGTCAACAAGCATTATGTGGCTGTGGACAAAATATATGAAGTAATCAACTTAAAAGGAAGAAAGATTTATTTGGGTTACAGCTTCATAAGTTCCAGTTCACAGTTAGATGGATCCATTGTTTTTGGGCCTGTTGCAAAGCAAACATCCTAACACCATGACAGTGAGCACATAGTGGAATAAAGCTGTGTTCTCCCGGAAGGGAGGAAGGAGAAAGAGGGAGAGAGACAGAGACAGACACAGAGACACAGAGAGATAGAGACAGAAAGAGAAAAGGGGAGACAGAAGAAGAGACCAGAGTCCCACAATCCCCTTCAATGACCTAACTTCCCCCTTCCTCTCCCTAAAGATTCCATTACCTCCCAGTAAGTGCCACAGGCTGGCAACCAAACTTTTTAACACATCCAGATCATCACAATAGCAACACATTATATATATATATACTCTTCCCCTTAGCGTTTGCTCCATCCTTCTTACCCCATCTGAAGACAATGGTTCACTTTATCTTCTTGCATATGAAGATGATACCAGAAAGATGATTATACAAGCCACAGAGTATTTAAATGGATGTTTTAGAATTATCTTGGGAACCATAAACATCAAGAACATAGGGCAGGTTTTGATTGACTCTCTGGGTTCTTCAGATAGTTTTAGGAGCTCATATAGACCCTTATCTGAGGTTTCATCTTCTCCTGCCCTGCCTGGACACCTCCAGTCTGTATTTTTAACAGATACTCTTATTACACCTACTTGTCTTTTTTTAATTTAAAATTATTGTAAAAGTGATATACAGAGGAGTTACACTTACATAATTCAGGTAATGAGTATATTTCTTTTTGACTAGTGTCACTCCTCCCTCATCCCCCCCCCCCTTTTCCCCTCTTGACCTCCCTCTCCTCAAGTTATAAAGCTAATTTCCAACATCGTGTCTAGTGGGTTTCACTGCTGAATTGATTTACCCATTGTCCGACCATTTCTGTGCTTCCCCTTCCCTTCCCCCCAAATCAGATACACTTATATACAAGACAGAGGGTATAGAAATAAAAAACAGCAACAAAAGAGAAAAAAAAAACAGAAGAAAAAAGAACTGAAAACAGTACAATTAAAAGTCTCATTTCCATTTCTTGGAATTCATTTCAATAAACATCATTTTCTATGATCATATGCACATAGCTATTGAGCCCTTGTGATCTTCTCCTAAGAATATCCTCCTTTGATCTCAATGTGTAAATGTTTAGAGTGTTGTTTAATCATGTCTAACTGAAATTATTTGTCATTCACTATCCATTGGGGTTACTTGTAGATTTATAAGCACATTTTAATTATTACAAATGAGGGAAACCATGCCTACTTCTTAAATAATGTTGGCTCTAGCTAATATCATTTATTTAGAAAGAAACATCAGTTTCCTGTTACATAACCATCTTTGTTATCTGGAACACTGATTTTTTCAGGTTCTAAATACCACAACCTGGGACAATGATAGGGACCACTATTGAGAACTACAACACACATTAACACCAGGATCAATGAGCCTGTTACTTCAGAAATTTGAACACTAGCCAATCACTAATAGCTCACACCTGTAATCTTAGCTATACAAGAAACTGAGGATTACAGTTAAAGACAGCCTGGACAAGAAAGCCGTAAGACTCATCTCCAATGAACTACCAAAAAAAACCCCACACACAGAAGTAGAGCTGTGACTCAAGTGGTCCAGTGCTAGCCTTGAGCACAAAAGCTCAGGAACAATGCCCAGGCCTTGAATTCAAACCCCAGACCCAAAAAGACAAAACAGAAACAAGAAAAAATTTGAATTCTAGATTATGAAAGAATAGTAAGTTGGCAATCCAGAGAAGTACTCAATGTGAATCAATGCAAAATGGCCT